ATATAATACTCTACAATAAACTGTGATAATATACTGTAATATAATACTGTACAATAAGTGTGATACAGCAATGCAGTGTAATAATATATTACTTTACAATAAGCTGTGATAATATAATACTGTAATATAATACTGTACAATAAGCGGTGATAATATGATACTGTAATATAATACTGTACAATAAGTGTGATACAGCAATGCAGTGTAATAATATATTACTTTACAATAAGCTTTATTAATAGATTACTCTACAATAAGCTTTGATAATGCATTAAAGTGTAGAATTAGTTTCAACAATACAATAAACAGTACAATAATAAAATGACTATAAGCTGTGATAATATAATACTGTACAATAAGCTGTGATTTTTATGATATGATATTATAAATAACAATTTACAGAGAAATATTAAATAGCATATCATTTGCAGCTTCAGAGGTTATTACATTTTTAATTTTCCTTTTTCTGTATATTTCATTTACTGTATTATGGATAGAATCCATTATCCCTTTATATTGTGCATACATGGTCGCTGCAAATGAATAAAAAAACATTGTGTCCTCGAGCTTCTTTCTCTGTTTCTGCAGAAACTGTGTAATTCTCTCTCCGAGCTCCCCTGCTGGCTCATCGCTAATCAGAGAGCGGCTGAATTAACGACAGTAGCTCCCATCAGGACCCCAGACATGTCACGCAGCTCCCACGAATGTCCCACTGCTGCCCCGTGAAAAAGAGAACCCTAACTTTGAGAAATCATGTGATAAGGATAAAGAAACATTGTACAGATGGATTATTAGGGGAACGGAATTCTACCGTTGGTTCTGGAAATTTATTTTCTCATTAGGCTTTCTCCACAAGCTTGCCATTATTTCCCCATACTGCATCGTGTATATCAAAAGAGGTAAGGGATATCCAAGATCAGGCTTTTGTTTCTATAAGTGTAATCGCTAACAATATAGAACAATATTCGCATTTGCAATTTCTCAATATTTTTCTATTTCTGCAATGAAATTTCTCACTGGATCCTTAATTCGTTTTTTAGTGTATTTTGGCCGGTAATGTCAATGTTGGTTTGAAAATATTAATTGTGATTGGAAAAATGATAAAACCTTGCATGTTCTCCTGGTGAGATTTCATAAATTACATTGGAACCGTACCGACTGCCACTGATAATGATTTGTAAATAAGACGCACGCAGCAAGCAGTTTAAGAGGAATACATTAGTCACTTTGCTTGATGGCGTCTATAGATGTTGTGACAAATTCAAGATCAGAACACTTATTTCCCAACAGAAAATGATTAAGTAAAGATAGACTGAAAGAAATGCATCTGAGGGGGAATATTATTAGGAGGAAATTGAGTGATGTGTACCTGATTGTCAAAACAGTCTCCTCCAAATGGCAGCACAAATGGGGATAAACAGATGTCGATATGTTTTATAAAGTGTACTTACATTTATAGGACCTTGACTTTGCTTTTTAGAGTTCATGTTAAATGTAATGCATGTAAATGTAATGCAGCCAAGATAAATTTATAAGCTACACTGTTAACCAAGGCGTGTAAGGTTACCTAGTTTGCAATTAGTGATGTCGCGAACACGAAATTTTCAGTTCGCGACCAGCGAACGCGAACTTCCGCAAATGTTTGCGAATCGGGCGAACCGCCATAGACTTCAATGGGCAGGCGAATTCTAAAACACACAGGGACTCTTTCTGGCCACAATAGTGATGGAAAAGTTGTTTCAAGGGGACTAACACCTGGACTGTGGCATGCCGGAGGGGGATCCATGGCAAAACTCCCATGGAAAATTACACAGTTGATGCAGAGTCTGGTCTTAATCCATAAAGGGCAGAAATCACCTAACATTCCTAAATCACAATGGATATGGATTGATACCTGACATATGACATATTGACACAGAGCAGAATAGGGACTGTTCCCCCTACATAGGGTCACTTGGCAGATATGGATTGACACCTGTCCTAAGAGATCATGATACACACTGACACAGAGCAGAATAGAGACTGTTTCCCCTACATAGGGTCACTTGGCAGATATGGATTGACACCTGACCTCAGAGCCCCTGATACACACTGACACAGAGCAGAATAGAGACTGTTCCCCCTACATAGGGTCACTTGGCAGATATGGATTGACACCTGTCCTCAGAGACCATGATACACACTGACACAGAGCAGAATAGAGACTGTTCTCCTTCATAGGGTCACTTGGCAGATATGGATTGACACCTGTCCTCAGAGCCCCTGATACACACTGACACAGAGCAGAATAGAGACTGTTCCTCCTACATAGGGTCACTTGGCAGATATGGATTGACACCTGTCCTCAGAGCCCATGATACACACTGACACAGAGCAGAATAGAGACTGTTCCCCCTACATAGGGTCACTTGGCAGATATGGATTGACACCTGTCCTCAGAGCCCCTGATACACACTGACACAGAGCAGAATAGAGACTGTTCCTCCTACATAGGGTCACTTGGCAGATATGGATTGACACCTTTCCTCAGGGACCATGATACACACTGACACAGAGCAGAAGAGAGACTGTTCCCCCTACATAGGGTCACTTGGCAGATATGGATTGACACTTGTCCTCAGAGCCCCTGATACACACTGACACAGAGCAGAATAGGGACTGTTACCCCTACATAGGGTCACTTGGCAGATATGGATTGACACCTGTCCTCAGGATCCCTGATACACACTGACACAGAGCAGAATAGGGAATGTTCCCCTACATAGGGTCACTTGGCAGATATGGATTGACACCTGTCCTAAGGATCCCTGATACACACTGACACAGAGCAGAATAGGGAATATTCACTAAATGCCAAACATTGTTATACAGGGGAATATTCAGTAAATAAGGATAAGGGGGGACCTACTGTCCTCCCCCCTGGCCCCCACCCCTGCACGGTGGGTGGGGCCATAAATCTCAATGGGGGGGGACCTACTGTCCTCCCACCCGCCCCCACCCATGAGCGGTGGGTGGGGGCCATAAAAATAATGAGGGGGGACCTACTGTATGATGTTGTATCGATCAGGTAGTGTAAGGGTTACGCCCGCTTCACAGTGACAGACCAAACTCCCCGTTTAACGCACCGCAAACAACCGCAAACAGTCCATTTGCACAACCGCAAACTCCCCATTTGCACAAGGTTGGATACCAAGCTAGCCATGTCCTGTTCCTTGTCCTCACTGATGTCATTGAAGGTCTCTTCCTCCACCCAGCCACGTACAACACCAAGGGTCCCCGAAAGGTGACAACAAGCCCCCTGGGACGCCTGCTCTGTTTGGTCTTCCACCTCCTCAAAGCCACCTTCCTCCTCTGACTCCTCTTCTTCAGACTCCTCTCTCTGCGTTGCCTCTCTCTGCGTTATGATAAGGTGTGTTAAGTAGTATTATTCCTATCAGTTTAATCCCTGTTACTTCCCCTATCAGGGGACTTGTATATGGCATCGATTTTAGGAACCGGGAGATGGAAAACGATGCTTGGTCGGTCCTCCTTCTTCAAATGTGGGGCACTGCGCGTGCAATCTAATGTGCCACCAGATAGGAGTGGTGTGTTAAGTAGTACTATTCTTATCAGTTTAATCCCTGTTCCATCCCCTATCCGTTGATGTGGAGCAAGACGCAGAGGACTCAGCCGAGGAGGTTATGGAAGAGGATGGAGTAGGAGGAGTAGAGGAGGTGGCAGCAGGCCTGCCTGCAAGTCGTGATGGTGTCACCAACTCCTCTGCAGAGCCACGCATTCCATGCTTGGCAGCCGTCAGCAGGTTTACCCAATGCGCAATGTAGGGGTGGCCTGCCTCTGCCTCTCATTTTTTTTCGATTAGTGGTACTATGCGTGCAAGCTACTGTGACACCAGATATGAGTGGCACTGTGAACTGGCAGAGGTTGGCAGAGTACACGCTGTAGGCCTGACACACCCACTTGAAGACAACTAACTGCTATTCAATCTATAACAGTGAAAAAAGTTTTTTGTTTTTAAATGCAAGCTATTATGACAACAGATATGAGTGGCACTGTGAACTGGCAGAGTACACGCTGTAGGGCTGACACACCGCTTTGAGACAACTAACTGCTATTCAATCTATAACAGTGAAAAAAGTTTTTTGTTTTTAAATGCAAGCTATTGTGACACCAGATATGAGTGGCACTGTGAACTGGCAGAGGTTGGCAGAGTACACGTTGTAGGCCTGACACACAGACGCTTGGAGACAACTAACTGCTATTCAAACTATAACAGTGAAAAAAGTTTTTTGGTTTTTAAATGCACGCTATTGTGACACCAGATAAGAGTGGCACTGTGAACTGGCAGAGTACACGCTGTAGGGCTGACACACCCACTTTGAGACAACTAACTGCTATTCAATCTATAACAGTGAAAAAAGTTTTTGGGTTTTTAAATGCACGCTATTGTGACACCAGTGAGTGAGTGGTGGCACTGGGCAAGTGGGCACAGTATATGCTGTGAGCCTGACACACAGGCTGGCAGGCAGGGAACTGCAATTACATTACACAGAAAAAAAAAAGCAGACTGATGTTCTAGCCCTAAAAGGGCTTTTTGGGGTGCTGTCCTTACAGCAGAGATCAGATGAGTCCTTCAGGACTGTAGTGGACACTGTATACACTAACCTAGCTATCCATTTGCCTATCAAATCAATAGCAGCTACACTTTCCCTCCTCTCACTAAGCATACAGCTTGAGAATGAATCTAAAATGGATGCTGTCCAGTAGGTGGGAGGGTCTGCTAGGGAGGGTGTGCTGCTAATTGGCTGGAATGTGTCTGCTGACTGTGAGGTACAGGGTCAAAGTTTACTCAATGATGACGAATAGGGGGGGAACGAACCGCGCATATGTTCGCCCGCCGTGGCGAACGCGAACATGCTATGTTCGCCAGGAACTATTCGCCAGCGAACCGTTTGGTGCATCACTATTTGCAATATCTTTCCCTGATTAGATATCTGATATATAAAAACTGGCTGACACTGTACATCTATCATAGGACATCACGAGGACCCACACGTCTTGGCTTCCCCAGATTGTGGGAGTTACTGCCCGTAACTCCAACTATGTTACTGGGAACAGGATCCGTGGAGGTCACACACTCATTGTCTCACCACCTTTTTCCAAGCACATTAGTAATGGGGGAGGGCCTGAAACATCTACAAAGAGTGGCTGCTGCCCAAATGTGTAACCTTTAGCAATATTAAGTAGAAAAGGAAAGTATAACCTGGTTTTACCTTAAGATTAAGGAATCATAGCCCTATACCTAACACTAACGCTAATCCTAGCCCTAACATACAACTCCAGTCTTTATTCTAGAACTAAAGCCAACCCTGACACCCAAATATAGCTGTAATCCTAGCCTAGCCCTTACCCTCACCTTACTAACAGACGAACTCTAACCCAAGTCATAACAAAAATCTCTAGCCTCTTTCCTAACCCTTAGTAGTTGCCCTAACATGCAATCGTAGAACTAATCATAGCATGATTAAACCTAGCCATAAAAGAAGCCCTGACCCTAATCCTAGCTCTAAGACTAAGCCTAACCTCAATAAAAACCACTATGATATAATTGATATGTAAGTTAATAGGTTGTTGATCCAAGGAGAAATCTGACTACTATGTAACTAGCTCTAACCAAAGTTGTACATGTAACCCTACAGCACTAATTACGTTCTTGGGCTACTCACACCTGCAGTGGCTGTTACCCTGATAGCCACTAGATGGAGCTCCCTTATTGACCTCTGAGTCAGACTTGGTTCTGGAAGTTCGATGTAACCTGTTAGGGTTATTTAGTGAAGTGAGAATTGTAATGAAGTCAAAATGAAGGTAAAGGTAACTGCACGGGAAGCATGGCTGCCTGGGAGAATGTTTTTAGTTTGGCTGTATTTGCCTTAGATTTGACATTTATTTTGAATTCACTTTTAAATCCCAACAATTCTCATTTTAGTCATCAAAGTCCAAATAGCCCCTTATTGAATAGACCAAAACCATCTGCATATAACGCCATTCAGACAACAAACTCAGCACTGTTACGCGCTATTTAATAATGTCAGGATTTTGCAAACAAGGCTGTGAACCAACCTGAATTTGGTCTAGATTCCAGTTGGACAAATGCGTCGGCCACATAATTAAACCTCACATTGCCGAAGGTTATTTTGTTATTTGCCGGCTTGCTGCTAGCATATACTACTTAACATGTTACACATTGCTATCGTTCATGAAAGCAAATAAATGATAATTTGCGAATGTGCATCCTGCATTTGCTTCCAAATTTTATTAAAACTGGTGCTTTGTAAATATTCTGAATCCTGTGCTTTATGTAGGATTCGGATGCGAGTGCATTGATTTTAATCCGAATGCATAAGTGCTTTAGTAAATATGATAATTGCCATTCAGTTTGGAACTCAATTCTAGTCTTTAGTAAATAACCTCCTATGTGTTTTTAATTATTACTTATATGCTCCTGTTTCTCATTTTTATTGTTTTTAATTCAAACAATTTGTTTTTTTGTGTCCTTACTTTTTAAAATTAAAAAAGGGAACTTTCTTTTTCATCATATCTTAGATCATTTCTCCAACAGTTACCTTCTCTGTGACCCATTATCATGTTACCTTTAATTATTATAGAATGAGAGATCCAAGGCTTTAGATAACAGCCTAACAATGTTATCTCTGAAAAATGCAGTAGTTTTCCTTTTTGGACAATTTGGGAAGATCTACTGAAATGCTATATCACATTTGAAACAGAAAGAGCTATACAACAGAGTTATATAACCAGCAAATGAGCCAATAATTTAAACTGGATATTGTTATTGTCTAGGGAATAATAAATAATACAAATATGATTTGAAAGTTCCATATTTTCCTGGAACACTTTCTCCTATTTTAAGATAAAATACATAGAAATCAATGCATTATTGTAATCCTTCTGCGAGTGGTTTGATGTCCCAGTTATGATAATTGTAAGAAGGTTCAATTAAAAGCAAAGGGATTGATATAGCTTTTAACCCCTTAAAACCGGAGGACGTACTATTACGCCCTATTCTAAGTGGCTCTAAACGCTGCTTAGAATAGAGCTGTGATATATATTGTCATTGTGAATGCTATTTACTACTATGAGTATAGTGTCAGTGCCTTCAGAAACAAAGACTCGAACCAGAGTGACCTGCAGCGACTTACATGGTGGTTGAAGAGAAAGAGCCTCCAGTAGCTATCAAAATGACAACCATCAGAGGCATGTTTAAACCGTCAAGGTAAACATTGGGATCCTTTAAAGCAGTGTTGTCAAACATGCGGCCCCCCAGATGTTGCTGAACTACAACTCCCATGATTCTTTCAATGAAACAGATAGCCAGGGAATCATGGGAGTTGTAGTTCAGCAACATCTGGGGGGCCGCATGTTTGACAACCCTGCTTTAAAGGGATACCGTAGGCACTGTATCTGCTTCATCTCATTAAACTGGTTATAGTGTCTGGAGTCTTCTGATCCCATTATTTCTATCAGCATTAAACAGTTTTTAATGTTTTAATGCTAAACAAGAGTCCCCGGCAATCCATCCCCTCTGTGCTGCTTTGGCTAATAAGGAAGTATTAGCCTGAGCAAAAATGGGCAGCTGTGATTGGCTGAGAGTGTCAGCTGACTGCTTTTAGCCTGTCAGAGTTCCAACTGATGGTATGAATGGGTATGACAACAAGGAAGTGTGTAATCTCTGCCTTAGCTACACATACTGAAGGGGCCAGACTGTGGGTGGCCAGGGACTCTTATTTTGTGGCATACTGCACGAACATGGTGCAACACTGAATGGAGGAACAGTGCCAGGGCACTCCAGGCACTATAACCAATTCAAAGAGATGAAATGCTTATAGTGACTACAGTGTCCCTTTAAGCAAAGTTCTATGTCAGTTGTTAACCTAACTTACCCAAAAATCATCAGTCAAAAGAATCCTACAGAAGGGCAGACTGTAGACATCACGGACATATGAGATTTATATATAAGTTGAGTTGAGTGTTCCCAAGCACTCTAAAGTACATTTGACAGGACTGTTGTTTTTTTCAGTTTTCCTTTCCTTTGCATCTTAAATATCAAACCCCCTCATTGCCAATTGTACACACATATATACATTGAAGGTCTTCAAATAGGAGAATGGTGGCCTTGGTTTCCTCTTCTCATGAACACTCCATGTGTTTTTTTATAACTTTCCTGTGGATGTGTTTTTCCAAAAACAGAGAGATCAATCCGAGCTCCAACGTACAAGCAGCTTGAAGCTATTAATATGCCATTTATAGAAGTCTTTGCCATGAATGTAGTATAGATATTGGTTTTTGCTCTGTGGACGGAGGTTAAGAAACAGACGTTTAGAAGCTGTCATTACCTAGGATAACAAAGGTCAGTGTATTTTTCTGCCGGAGCTATTTTTGAGGCGTACCACCAAGGCTGAAATAGTGTCATTTCAAGCAATACACTGTGTGCACATTCCTCCCAAACCACACAGAAAAAATCATCTGAAATGAAACGTTGTCCGACACAGAGTGTCCCCAATGCATCGTTTCATTGAACGTACACCACAAAATTGAAGGTTTCAACTCACAAATACACAGTGAATTTTGATGAAAGAAATGAATAGGCTGGGTAGTTAAAACCCCCACTGTGAGAAGGCTTCTCGTGATATTAATGATGCTGTAATTAAACTAATTTAATTTTATAGTACATACCATGACTGTTTTCATTCACAAAAAATACCAAGCATATTTTTTACTTTTTTTTAAATTTTATTTTACAAGTAAAATTAGTCTTAATTGCCTGAAAGACTATAGCAGGGATTAATTAATTAGCGAGTAGGTAGGTGAATGGACTTATTTACAAATGTCATTTTAGGAAATAGGTTGTTGGGGGGGTTTTTTGGGGGGGGGTTACTCTTTTGCTACATTCAATAAACATACACATTTTCAATTGAGAAGCAGGTTAATTCATTCGTGTTACAGAAGCGTTGGTATGTAGTGAAAGTACTGCATTATATCATCCGTTTTTTTGTTAAACCTTTTTGGTGGTTTGATTTTGTTTGTTTGTAAGGAAATTAAATGCATGCTTATAGTTTTGAGTTGCTCTAAATAGAAATAAAAAAAATAACAGTAATATATTTATTAGATATGAAAACTCGTTTCGGAACAAACTGCAATTTTGGCCAAATTTGGGCTAATTGGGTGTTGTAAAATATACGACTGAACCGTAATATCCTGCCACATTCTGGGTGCCCTAAGAAATTTTTTATCTTCAGAAAAAAATAGTCAGCTGAACCAAAATTCTTGCCGTGCGCAAGTCTAATATTTCCGATGTTGCAAATTAATCATTAGAGTCAATTTCCACTTCTATGACTCTTGGATCATAATTGTCTGAATTGTTAATCATGACGAATGTGATCTATTGGTCTTAGTTTTGTACACCATGTAGTTTTTCCTGTATGTTATGTTTTACCTCCACCATGGTAATTCTGGAAACAGAGCGGTTCCGGTAAATCAGTCATTATCCATGTTCTGTTAATCTCTGCTCTTAATTTATCCTACAGACTGCCCACTGCATTACGTAAAATAGTACAAAGTACACATAACTTAACAACGTACACAGCGTTATAGTTTCTGAATTTGGTGCAAATTCCCCAGGAGTCCCCAGGAGAAACTCTCAAGAAATGCAAGTGTATCTGATTCTTTTATTTTTATTATTTACACTGAGTATCAGCTTAGCAGCAACTTTAATCATCACTGTGCAAGACTGCAGGCCTCCTAGCTGTCCTGATTTTGGTGGTATAGTCCCTATTTCAAGGTTCGGTCCCACCATCCTGAATTTATAACGTAGTGCCCCTTTTTTGGGATCCCCAGAAATCATAGTATGTGCCAGGCTGTCCTGACCCTCTATACGGACCTGCATGCCCTTTTCAGCATGAACCGGTGACAGATTCATTTTCACAGGTTACTTCATGACATATACACATAAAGCTATTCCATGATCATTCACTGATGGAACTGCTGCTACAGGCCAAACAATGTATCCCATTGGACAAAACATTAAGTCTAGAATTGGCTGACAGGGGGCAACGACTTCCTAATCTGGGCAGAGCTCACTTCAAGAAGCTCCAAATCTGGGGAATTTACAGCAAATACGGGAACTCTAAATGTGTGTTGAGACGTTTTGTGTACGTTGTGAGTTTTGTGATTTTTGCAATGTATTTTGCATGTAATGCATTGAAATATAATATGTCCGTTCATGTTTGTTAGAAATCTTTGTAGACAAATTAAAAATGTAACATTATGGAGCAATATATACATTTATAGAAATCTGCGTGCAATTATCGTTGTATTTCTCTACTTCAGGCACTTTGCTCTATAATTGTCCTACGTCTGTTTTACTTCACAGATTTACAGCTGAGGCTTTTGAAAAATATATATTTTTTCCTTTTCGTTGTTGATGTTAATTGTTATTTCCAAGCACACGCTGTGTATTCTCTCCGCAGGACCCAAGCAATGGGACCCAAAATTTCTGCTGTTCAAGGCTTCGGAACTAATAAGGTCTGGTACTGAATGAAGATT